TGATTCTCACACTACACCCTTTCTTTCGTATCTCCCCCAAGGACACATATGATCACATATGATATGAGCCGTGTATAGGACCAGAACAGCTGCAGCAGCTCATCGCCGCATCACAATGGACAATCAGCGAACAATTTTCAGCTGAAATGATAATGAATTATTCAATCCGGGAGCGCCGGCGTCATCAGCTCAGTTCTGTTTTGTATCACTTCCCATAAAATGTAACAATTATTATCAGCAGATGGATCTTCCTCCATCCCAAATGCTTTGCCCGTCACCCGCTCAGCATCTTCCCCATCGCCGTCCTCTTTTGCAGCGACACAACACACAGCGACACATTTGGCAGTTGTCAGCCGGCTCGGGGAGCAGAAGAAGGTTTTGGAGAATTAAATATTTATTGGGATGTTTACGTTTCGACTTGCCTGTAAATTGGGATGGGAGCGGGGAGGGGGAGGGGTCAGGTTGGCCGCCTTCCACCAATCTCGGGGAGCAGCGTCTCTCCTGCTGCCAGTCTGACGGCGCATGCTGGCGCTGCGCTCTGCCCTGCGGCCCTCGCGTCTTGTGACCGGCGTGGGAAGGGATCTCAGCAATTTCATGAAATGAAGGAGAGAGTTTATAAAACAATCTAATAATAAAGCTGGAGGAATGGAACTTGAACATATCAGAATAATGTTTAATCAGCGGAGTAATTGCCATAAAATCCCGTTTTCACCTTTTTTCACCCCTCAGTGCTGCTGACCTGCAGTCTCAGTTTCTTTCCGCGTGCAGTCGCTACACCGTCAGGCCGGCTTCCCGATAGTGACAACGGTGCACCATACCAGTGCAAAGTGTGCTGGCAATGTGTACTCTCCACCAGAGGTGCATGCAACGGGGTGACAACACAAGAGCACAATAGAGGGACATGTACAAAACGTTGTCACCCTCTCACAGGAAGTACCTGAACAAGGACCTCCATGGCAGGATCACCAGGGAGTGGAATAAAAAGCAGGGACTTTGTAGCAGGAGAGACGTGCTTTGCCGCTTCTGCAATTAAACTAACCCGCCTGTTCTCAACCCGCTGAGCTGCACATGCGCACACTACGCAGAGGAGTCTTGAGGCTCCGTACCTGATGAAGTAGCCCGGGCAGCTCTGAAACAGGTTAAAGGTGCTTTATACAATAAAGTTCTGATATAAGACATGGCGTCGCCCGCATTCTCCACCCCCCCACAATACATATCAATAGGAGCTCCCTGCAAGACCATAATGATCTGTTGGGGGATCCGGGGGCGGAGACAGACCCTCTATGGAACTACAGAACATTCCGAAGACATCAGAGGCGGCGTCACGGGGCTTCCTCTGCAAACACAATGTGGAATCAATATGCAGGCGCCTCTCCTTACCTTCACCACCGCAGCCCCACCCCCCAGGAGCTCATTCTAATATGCAAATCTCAACTTTCACAGACAAAGTGAGGGGCCGGCCTGGCTGCTCTCGCTATTTTTTCACTCCATGCAGATGTGAAGAGGTAGAAGGCCACCGGAGGCGGCCATGTGCATTTTATACACGCTTCAACCCAGTTTATGATAAAGCTCAGGTGAAGTCACAGACCCAGACCCGTCCTGTCCTAAAACACCGGCCATTTCTATAGTCCGTCCTCCTTCTCTGGATACAACAGCTGTGCTTTAGTGCAGTGCAAGAGGCACCAGAACTGGACCCAGTACACTCAGTAATCAGCACTCAGTTATAGACCTGGTCAGACACACCCCCTCTCTAGTCAGACACACGCCCCCCCTCTCTAGTCAGAGACACACCCCCTCTCTAGTCAGACACACACCCTCTCTCTCTAGTCAGAGACCCCTCCCCTCTCTAGTCAGACACACGCCCTCCCTCTCTAGTCAGACACCCCTCCCCTCTCTAGTCAGACACCCCTCCCCTCTCTGGTCAGACACCCCTCCCCTCTCTAGTCAGACACACCCCCTCTCTAGTCATAACCCCTCCCCTCTCTAGTCAGACACACACCTTTCTCTTCTCTGCAATATAAGTCAATGTAGAGGGGTGTGGCTGCAGAGAGCACTGAAGTGAGAGGACAGGGAAGACACACCCCCTCTCTAGTCAGACACACCCCCTCTCTAGTCATAACCCCTCCCCTCTCTAGTCAGACACACCCCTTTCTCTTATCTGCAATATCAGTCAATGTAAAGGGGTGTGGCTGCACAGAGCACTGAAGTGAGAGGACAGGAAAGACACACCCCCTCTCTAGTCAGACACACCCCCTCTCTAGTCATAACCCCTCCCCTCTCTAGTCAGACACACCCCTTTCTCTTATCTGCAATATCAGTCAATGTAAAGGGGTGTGGCTGCACAGAGCACTGAAGTGAGAGGACAGGGAAGACACACCCCCTCTCTAGTCAGACACACCCCTTTCTCTTATCTGCAATATCAGTCAATGTAAAGGGGTGTGGCTGCACAGAGCACTGAAGTGAGAGGACAGGAAAGACACACCCCCTCTCTAGTCAGACACACCCCCTCTCTAGTCATAACCCCTCCCCTCTCTAGTCAGACACACACCTTTCTCTTCTCTGCAATATAAGTCAATGTAGGGGTGTGGCTGCAGAGAGCACTGAAGTGAGAGGACAGGAAAGACACCCCTCCTCTCTAGTCAGACACACCCCTTCTCTAGTCAGACACACCCCTTCTCTAGTCAGACACACCCTTTTCTCTTCCCTGCAATATAAGTCAATGTAGATGGGTGTGGCTGCAGAGCACCGAAGTGAGAGGGCAGGAAAGACACCCCCCCCCTCTAGCCAGACACAAGCGCGCCTTCTCTTATCTGCAATATCAGTCAATGTAAAGGGGTGTGGCTGCACAGAGCACTGAAGTGAGAGGACAGGGAAGACACACCCCCTCTCTAGTCAGACACACCCCTTCTCTAGTCAGACACACCCCTTTCTCTTATCTGCAATATCAGTCAATGTAGAGGGGTGTGGCTGCACAGAGCACTGAAGTGAGAGGCCAGGAAAGACACACCCCCTCTCTAGTCAGACACACCCCTTTCTCTTCTCTGCAATATCGGTCAATGTAGAGGGGTGTGGATGCAGAGCACTGAAGTTGTCCAGCCTCCGGATCTCTCACACACCGAGTGACACTTTTTTTAAATTTTTATTGAAATGACAAATAAAATGAAACATAAATCTCAGCAAATCCACATTTTCCCAGAGTCAGTGCGTCGGTTCATGCTGCATGGAAAGGCACGTGCGTCTCTTAAAGGCAAACTCCGCCTTCTGACAATAATACTAAACGCACACACATCGATAACAGGACAAAATGTGCATTTATTATGATTATTAGTTTATTTGTACATTTGAGCCCCCAAAAGCATTGTCACTGAGATCAGAGGCTCACGGTGCAACGCTCTGGCTCCTGCAGACTCTTCCTCCCGGCTCCTGCCCATATCGCGGTGCAGACATCCAGTTAAGGGACGGGAGGAAGTATGAAAGGACTACAAGTGCAGCAAGTCCCATAGACACAGTGGCAGATGGGATTTGTAGATTTTCCATTCAAAGATCCTGCCAATGTGAATGGATGACACGCCTGTGTGGGCGGAGCCACGCTGAATTCAAGAAGTGACAGTGGTCTGCAGGGAGAAGAGCTCCATGATTCGGGTAAGTGGGGAAAGGAAAGGGGACGAGGAGAGGAAAGGGAGGGTGAGGGAAAGGAAGGGGAGGGGATGGGGAGAGGGAAGGGGGCAGGGATGGGGAGAGGGAAGGGGGCAGGGATGGGGAGAGGGAAGGGGGCAGGGATGGGGAGAGGGAAGGGGGCAGGGATGGGGAGAGGGAAGGGGGCAGGGATGGGGAGAGGGAAGGGGGCAGGGATGGGGAGAGGGAAGGGGGCAGGGATGGGGAGAGGGAAGGGGGCAGGGATGGGGAGAGGGAAGGGGGCAGGGATGGGGAGAGGGAAGGGGGCAGGGATGGGGAGAGGGAAGGGGGCAGGGATGGGGAGAGGGAAGGGGGCAGGGATGGGGAGAGGGAAGGGGGCAGGGATGGGGAGAGGGAAGGGGGCAGGGATGGGGAGAGGGAAGGGGGCAGGGATGGGGAGAGGGAAGGGGGCAGGGATGGGGAGAGGGAAGGGGGCAGGGATGGGGAGAGGGAAGGGGGCAGGGATGGGGAGAGGGAAGGGGGCAGGGATGGGGAGAGGGAAGGGGGCAGGGATGGGGAGAGGGAAGGGGGCAGGGATGGGGAGAGGGAAGGGGGCAGGGATGGGGAGAGGGAAGGGGGCAGGGATGGGGAGAGGGAAGGGGGCAGGGATGGGGAGAGGGAAGGGGGCAGGGATGGGGAGAGGGAAGGGGGCAGGGATGGGGAGAGGGAAGGGGGCAGGGATGGGGAGAGGGAAGGGGGCAGGGATGGGGAGAGGGAAGGGGGCAGGGATGGGGAGAGGGAAGGGGGCAGGGATGGGGAGAGGGAAGGGGGCAGGGATGGGGAGAGGGAAGGGGGCAGGGATGGGGAGAGGGAAGGGGGCAGGGATGGGGAGAGGGAAGGGGGCAGGGATGGGGAGAGGGAAGGGGGCAGGGATGGGGAGAGGGAAGGGGGCAGGGATGGGGAGAGGGAAGGGGGCAGGGATGGGGAGAGGGAAGGGGAGAGGGAAAGGGGGCAGGGAAGGGGAAGTAATCACGTGTCATGTCACACCGATCACAGTGATATAAAAATATATACAATGAAATAAGGAGAGAAAAATAAACAACCTTAAACTTTGTCACATTGTAACATTTTAGACGTTGTTTCCATTTCTGGATTTGGGGGAAGCTCCTCCTCTAGCTCGGGGGGGAGAAGGTCGCCTCATATAGCACAATGGTCTCCCCGCGGCTCGGCGGTCCTGATCCCGGATGCGCTCACAGACGGTGATGAGTCAGCAAACCGATTCTCAGGTGGACGAGGAACATGTGACCCGCCAGATGTTGGAAGTCTCTCTCGCCGGCCTCTTCCTGGATGCAGACAGTTCATAGATCGGCCGTCCGGCGCTCGGCCCGTCACTCTCCGGCGGGATCGCTCTCCTCCGTTTTTAGCCGTTTGGACCCGGGCCCCGGAGTCAGGAGATGGGAATAATCCTGCAGGGCCTGGGCGACCTCCGCGATGCTCCAGCGGTCCTCTCTCAGGGCGTGCTCCTCCAAGGTGAAGGGGCCCTGCTGGGTGCGGGTCAGATCCTTCACGCTGGCACAACTTGACAGAGCTGTCAGGGGAGGAGGAAGAAGGAGGACAAAGATGACGTGAAAACCACAAACAGCGACACAGCGAAATATTCAACGTCTGAGGATTCACCGCTCGTTGGATGAGAATGATCCCGGAGAGCCGGAGGAGTTGAACGCGGGGCTGCGCTAATGCCGGATTAGAGGCTGCCATGGGTGGGGGAGATATCTGGGTCAGGGGGTCAATGGCGGCCGGGAACACAGGAGATCTGCCGACCTTTCAACTAGGAGAAGAATCAATATTCCTTCTCTGTGACACGGCATTGTACGAGTCTCCAACCCCGACCCCTCCAACCCTGAAACTCTTCAACCTCAACCCCTGCAATTCCGACCCCTCCAACCCCGGCCCCTCCAACTCCGACCCCTGCAGCTCAGACCTCGTCCAACTCCGACCCCTCCAACCCCGGCCCCTCCAACTCCGACCCCTGCAGCTCAGACCTCGTCCAACTCCGACCCCTCCAACCCCGGCCCCTCCAACTCCGACCCCTGCAGCTCAGACCTCGTCCAACTCCGACCCCTCCAACCCCGGCCCCTCCAACTCCGACCCCTGCAGCTCAGACCTCGTCCAACTCCGACCCCTCCAACCCCGGCCCCTCCAACTCCGACCCCTGCAGCTCAGACCTCGTCCAACTCCGACCCCTCCAACCCCGGCCCCTCCAACTCCGACCCCTGCAGCTCAGACCTCGTCCAACTCCGACCCCTCCAACCCCGGCCCCTCCAACTCCGACCCCTGCAGCTCAGACCTCGTCCAACTCCGACCCCTCCAACCCCGGCCCCTCCAACTCCGACCCCTGCAGCTCAGACCTCGTCCAACTCCGACCCCTCCAACCCCGGCCCCTCCAACTCCGACCCCTGCAGCTCAGACCTCGTCCAACTCCGACCCCTCCAACCCCGGCCCCTCCAACTCCGACCCCTGCAGCTCAGACCTCGTCCAACTCCGACCCCTCCAACCCCGGCCCCTCCAACTCCGACCCCTGCAGCTCAGACCTCGTCCAACTCCGACCCCTCCAACCCCGGCCCCTCCAACTCCGACCCCTGCAGCTCAGACCTCGTCCAACTCCGACCCCTCCAACCCCGGCCCCTCCAACTCCGACCCCTGCAGCTCAGACCTCGTCCAACTCCGACCCCTCCAACCCCGGCCCCTCCAACTCCGACCCCTGCAGCTCAGACCTCGTCCAACTCCGACCCCTCCAACCCCGGCCCCTCCAACTCCGACCCCTGCAGCTCAGACCTCGTCCAACTCCGACCCCTCCAACCCCGGCCCCTCCAACTCCGACCCCTGCAGCTCAGACCTCGTCCAACTCCGACCCCTCCAACCCCGGCCCCTCCAACTCCGACCCCTGCAGCTCAGACCTCGTCCAACTCCGACCCCTCCAACCCCGGCCCCTCCAACTCCGACCCCTGCAGCTCAGACCTCGTCCAACTCCGACCCCTCCAACCCCGGCCCCTCCAACTCCGACCCCTGCAGCTCAGACCTCGTCCAACTCCGACCCCTCCAACCCCGGCCCCTCCAACTCCGACCCCTGCAGCTCAGACCTCGTCCAACTCCGACCCCTCCAACCCCGGCCCCTCCAACTCCGACCCCTGCAGCTCAGACCTCGTCCAACTCCGACCCCTCCAACCCCGGCCCCTCCAACTCCGACCCCTGCAGCTCAGACCTCGTCCAACTCCGACCCCTCCAACCCCGGCCCCTCCAACTCCGACCCCTGCAGCTCAGACCTCGTCCAACTCCGACCCCTCCAACCCCGGCCCCTCCAACTCCGACCCCTGCAGCTCAGACCTCGTCCAACTCCGACCCCTCCAACCCCGGCCCCTCCAACTCCGACCCCTGCAGCTCAGACCTCGTCCAACTCCGACCCCTCCAACCCCGGCCCCTCCAACTCCGACCCCTGCAGCTCAGACCTCGTCCAACTCCGACCCCTCCAACCCCGGCCCCTCCAACTCCGACCCCTGCAGCTCAGACCTCGTCCAACTCCGACCCCTCCAACCCCGGCCCCTCCAACTCCGACCCCTGCAGCTCAGACCTCGTCCAACTCCGACCCCTCCAACCCCGGCCCCTCCAACTCCGACCCCTGCAGCTCAGACCTCGTCCAACTCCGACCCCTCCAACCCCGGCCCCTCCAACTCCGACCCCTGCAGCTCAGACCTCGTCCAACTCCGACCCCTCCAACCCCGGCCCCTCCAACTCCGACCCCTGCAGCTCAGACCTCGTCCAACTCCGACCCCTCCAACCCCGGCCCCTCCAACTCCGACCCCTGCAGCTCAGACCTCGTCCAACTCCGACCCCTCCAACCCCGGCCCCTCCAACTCCGACCCCTGCAGCTCAGACCTCGTCCAACTCCGACCCCTCCAACCCCGGCCCCTCCAACTCCGACCCCTGCAGCTCAGACCTCGTCCAACTCCGACCCCTCCAACCCCGGCCCCTCCAACTCCGACCCCTGCAGCTCAGACCTCGTCCAACTCCGACCCCTCCAACCCCGGCCCCTCCAACTCCGACCCCTGCAGCTCAGACCTCGTCCAACTCCGACCCCTCCAACCCCGGCCCCTCCAACTCCGACCCCTGCAGCTCAGACCTCGTCCAACTCCGACCCCTCCAACCCCGGCCCCTCCAACTCCGACCCCTGCAGCTCAGACCTCGTCCAACTCCGACCCCTCCAACCCCGGCCCCTCCAACTCCGACCCCTGCAGCTCAGACCTCGTCCAACTCCGACCCCTCCAACCCCGGCCCCTCCAACTCCGACCCCTGCAGCTCAGACCTCGTCCAACTCCGACCCCTCCAACCCCGGCCCCTCCAACTCCGACCCCTGCAGCTCAGACCTCGTCCAACTCCGACCCCTCCAACCCCGGCCCCTCCAACTCCGACCCCTGCAGCTCAGACCTCGTCCAACTCCGACCCCTCCAACCCCGGCCCCTCCAACTCCGACCCCTGCAGCTCAGACCTCGTCCAACTCCGACCCCTCCAACCCCGGCCCCTCCAACTCCGACCCCTGCAGCTCAGACCTCGTCCAACTCCGACCCCTCCAACCCCGGCCCCTCCAACTCCGACCCCTGCAGCTCAGACCTCGTCCAACTCCGACCCCTCCAACCCCGGCCCCTCCAACTCCGACCCCTGCAGCTCAGACCTCGTCCAACTCCGACCCCTCCAACCCCGGCCCCTCCAACTCCGACCCCTGCAGCTCAGACCTCGTCCAACTCCGACCCCTCCAACCCCGGCCCCTCCAACTCCGACCCCTGCAGCTCAGACCTCGTCCAACTCCGACCCCTCCAACCCCGGCCCCTCCAACTCCGACCCCTGCAGCTCAGACCTCGTCCAACTCCGACCCCTCCAACCCCGGCCCCTCCAACTCCGACCCCTGCAGCTCAGACCTCGTCCAACTCCGACCCCTCCAACCCCGGCCCCTCCAACTCCGACCCCTGCAGCTCAGACCTCGTCCAACTCCGACCCCTCCAACCCCGGCCCCTCCAACTCCGACCCCTGCAGCTCAGACCTCGTCCAACTCCGACCCCTCCAACCCCGGCCCCTCCAACTCCGACCCCTGCAGCTCAGACCTCGTCCAACTCCGACCCCTCCAACCCCGGCCCCTCCAACTCCGACCCCTGCAGCTCAGACCTCGTCCAACTCCGACCCCTCCAACCCCGGCCCCTCCAACTCCGACCCCTGCAGCTCAGACCTCGTCCAACTCCGACCCCTCCAACCCCGGCCCCTCCAACTCCGACCCCTGCAGCTCAGACCTCGTCCAACTCCGACCCCTCCAACCCCGGCCCCTCCAACTCCGACCCCTGCAGCTCAGACCTCGTCCAACTCCGACCCCTCCAACCCCGGCCCCTCCAACTCCGACCCCTGCAGCTCAGACCTCGTCCAACTCCGACCCCTCCAACCCCGGCCCCTCCAACTCCGACCCCTGCAGCTCAGACCTCGTCCAACTCCGACCCCTCCAACCCCGGCCCCTCCAACTCCGACCCCTGCAGCTCAGACCTCGTCCAACTCCGACCCCTCCAACCCCGGCCCCTCCAACTCCGACCCCTGCAGCTCAGACCTCGTCCAACTCCGACCCCTCCAACCCCGGCCCCTCCAACTCCGACCCCTGCAGCTCAGACCTCGTCCAACTCCGACCCCTCCAACCCCGGCCCCTCCAACTCCGACCCCTGCAGCTCAGACCTCGTCCAACTCCGACCCCTCCAACCCCGGCCCCTCCAACTCCGACCCCTGCAGCTCAGACCTCGTCCAACTCCGACCCCTCCAACTCCGACCCCTCCAACTCCGACCCCTGCAGCTCAGACCTCGTCCAACTCCGACCCCTCCAACTCCGACCCCTCCAACTCCGACCCCTGCAGCTCAGACCTCGTCCAACTCCGACCCCTCCAACCCCGGCTTCTAGAACCAGCCTTCACATTCCACAACCTTGTCACAGCTTCAATGTCGTTAAACGGAAAGATTTATAGATTTCTATACTATGGGACGGGAGGGGCCTGGGCTGATTGGAGGAGGAGCCGGATGTAGGAACGTCCTCGGTAGGTGGGCGCCTCTCATGCACGGTCAGTATGGAGGCCGGACATCAGCAGAGGGTCAGATCTCCATCTGGTTATTATCTGTATTTGGGGCGGGGCTCCGCTTCATGACACTCACCTTTGCCGATGTCTCTGACCAGACTGCGGACATAGAATCCTCCGCCGCACTCGATGTCTGCATGGGGGAGAGAAGAGCGGACTGTCAGAGAACACGCAATGCCGCCGGGGAGAACCACAAGTCCGAGGCCAACAAATCTGATCTCCGGGACCAGCAGATGTCATCCGAGTTACAGAATTCATTTTATACTCAGTGATGTCATCACCGGGTCTCGGTGCTTCTCTATGCAATGCAGTCAGATCATGGCTAGTGGGAGGGGCCAGCAGGGATGATGGGGGCTGTCTCTATTATGAAAATATGGAACAGCAAATTGTGAGCGCCACATTCAAATCCACCTTCAGATAAATGTCACAGTAATTATTATAAACGTGACTTGCTATTAACAGACGGCTGTTCCCCTTTAAGGTGT